TAGAGACGAGGTTTCACCATGTTGGCCAGGCTGCTCTTGAACTCCTGACCTCAGGTGATCCACCCACCTTGGCCTCCCAAAGTGCTGGGATTACAGGCGTGAGCCACCATGCCCAGCCCTTTTCTCTTTTTTAATACATAAAAATGGTGTACTCTTTAATTTGTGCTATGTTATATTTGATAAAGTACAGCAACCAGTCATCACTGCTGCTCACTTCTCAGAGGTTTTGATCTGGATGGGGTGACTACTGTAATTCAATTATTGTTATAGTGGGTATCTGCTCATTTCCGTAATAACGGGGTTTCACTAGTTCTTTCTTCCAATGTTAGGGTACAGTTCTCCCTAGGGCAGAATATTTGATCATGACTCTCATGGTTGGTATATCAGTAACTATAGAAATAAGATTCAGTTTAGCCATTTCCAAAGTACAATAAAAGGAATTGCAAAATAATTTGTAACTTTGTTATAGCCCTATGTTGTTAGCCCAAGTCTTGGGTACTGTCAAACTGAAGCAGGAAATCTATCTCCTAGTGAACTACAACAACCAGTAGTTCCAAAGAAGGCTCTGGTTTTCCTTGAACTGTATATTTTAGAGGGTCATACTAATGCTATAACTTAAAATGGCATTATTTGAATATTAAGATAGTATCCAATTCCAAAAGCTAATATTTGATACCAATCACTGATCATCATGAGTAGGCTAAAAGCTGCCTTTTCATTCTATCCCATTGTTGAAGAATGACTTATGGAATTGGTTCTAATTATCTTTTCATGGGGTCCACAAAATCCCAATAGGTCAAACTCTTCATTTCACAAATGAGGAAATAGCCCCAGAAATGTTGATTTGCCCATTTTCTCATTACAAGATACTGATAAAGCCCAAGATAGGAGCCAGGTCCCAGGTCTTCTGTTTCCATCTTTCTCATTCCCTCCCCTTACCCGCCCGTAATTGAACACAGTGCCCTCTCAATTTAATTAATGATAGTTATGACAGGGGCTTTACAATGAAACAATTTACCTTCAGGCTTCTTGTGCCAGTCCTTATTGGGCCAGTAGTAAAGACACATGACATGGTACTTATTCAAGCTTAGATATGATAGAAACAGAAAAAGTGGTATCTGGTACCTATTCTTAGCCTTAGCCTTTGTTTTAATTTCTACTGCTTTAAAAATTCTTTTTCTTTTTTCTTTTTTTTTTTTTTTTTTGAGAGGGAGTCTCACTCACTCTGTCGCCCAGGCTGGAGTGCAATGATGCAATGTTGGCTCATTGCAGCCTTCGCCTCCTGGATTTACATGATTCTCCTGCCTCAGCCTCCTGAGTAGCTGGGACTACAGGTGCCTGCCACCATGCCCAGCTAATTTTTGTATTCTTGGTAGAATCGGGGTTTCACCATGTTGGCCAGGCTGGTCTCGAACTCCTGACCTCAAGTGATCCGCCTGCCTCCACCTCCCAAAGTGCTGGGGTTACAGGCAGGAGCCACCGTGCCTGACCTCTGCTAATTAAAAATTCTTCAGAACAATGTCCTTTGAGATGGACAAAGCAGGTGATATTCTTTCCATCTTTAGACCAATGTTTTAAGTGTCCAAAAGACCAGTGATACTTCTAGCTTCTGAATGGAATTGGAACTTGGGCTTTTGATTCTTAAGCCAATATTCATCAGCATCATACCATGTAGCTGACACACTTGCAGCCTAAGACAGAATGTCTTGAAGAGAAGAAAATCTAATGGAACCTACAATATAATTAGGCCAATTTGGGAGGAGTATAAGAAGAGGCTGATTTCCTGTTATCTGGGAAGTGGCAATCTGAACTTTTAAACAGACAATTTTGAACTTTTTTGGTTTGATACTGAGATTAAGTTCAAGGCAGCTACCTTTATGTTAAAGAAACTGATGAGGTTTCATTATAAGTCTAGAGTAATGTTTGACAAGGTAAAGGTAGAGGAGATGATAAAGAAGTAGTTCTATCTAAAGTTATTGAAAATGTTCAATGCTACAGAGATTCATTTTTATTACTTTGAAAGACAGATTTTAAAGATACAGGATGGTATTAAGTAAAATGGTAAAATGGGATAAATTAATAAAAATTATAATTCCCTATTAACCTAGGTTTTATATTGGTTTTTCGTTAAAACTGTTGCATTCCACTTGCTGTTTTCTATTTTATTTTGATTATTGTTTTAAAATTGAGACAGGGTCTTGTTCTGTTGCCAAGGCTGGAGTGCAGCTGTGAACATGGCTCATTGCAGCCTCAACTTTCTGTGCTCAAGTGATCCTCCCATCTCAGCCTCCCAAGTAGCTGGGGACCACAGGTGCATGCCACCATGGCTGGCTAATTAAAAAAAAAAAAAATTCTGCATGCAGACAAGGTCCCATCATGTTGCCTAGGCTGGTCTCAAACTCCTGGACTCAAGTGATCCTCCTACCTTGGCCTGCCAAAGTGCTGGAATTTATAGGTGTGAGATACCATGCCTGGCCATCTATTTTAAAATATTTAAACTCAAGGCAAACTCTAGACAAAACAGAACTAAATCTAGAAGGAGCTATAATACGGGAAACAGAAGAGAATGTTACCAAAAATATCAAATTGATATTATCAGAATTTAAGAAAACAATAGGTTTATAAAATGAGAAGAAGCTATTACAGAGGGGACCAATTAAGGGATAATAGAAAGTCCTTGGACATTAGAAATGTTACTGCAAAGCTAAAAACTGGACACAGGTTAGACAGTGCAGAGTTCACTGGGTTGCACACGGAACGTAGTGCTCATTCTCCTCCCTGCCCACTTCCACTGAAAAGGAATGCACCCCTCCCCTGATAATGGACCCAAATACCCACTTCCGGCCGTTTCTGCCATTAGCCATCCGCCTTCAGCCAACCACTACCACCACAGCTCCCGCCTGCCTGCTCATCGCTCCCCAAGGTGCCCGCCATGGCCACCACCCCAGTGTTGCAGGTGCATCAGAACTACCACCCCAACTGCAAGGCCACTGTCAACAACCACGTCAACCTGGGATTCCATGCCTCCAACGTGTACCTGTCCATGGCCTTCTTCTACTTCGACCGGGATGACGCGGCCCTGGAGCACTTTGGCCGCTACTTCCTGCACCAGTTGCACAAGAAGAGGGAGCACGCCCAGGAGCTGATGAGGCTGCAGAACCAGCACGCTGGCTGCATCTGCTTTCACTACATCAGGAAGTCAGAGCGTCAAGACGGAGAGCAGGCTCGAGGCCATGGAGTGCGCCTTCCACCTGGAGAAGAGTGTCAACCAGAGCCTCCTGGAGCTGCACCAGCTGACCATGGAGAAAGGTGACCCCCAGCTGTGTGACTTCCTGGAGAGCCACTTCCTGAACCAGCAGGTCAAGGCCATCAGAGAGCTGGGTGATTACCTGAGCAACCTGTGTAAGACGTGGGCCCCAGAAGCAGGCCTGGCAGAGTACCTGTTTGACAAGTTCACTCTGGGCGGCAGCGAGGAAGACACCTGAGCCAAGATGGGCCCCACAGCCACAGTGTGCTTTCCCTGGGTCAGGCCGCCAGGCGGGGTGTGCATGTTGCCCTTTTAGAACGTTCTCTTCAGTTTTTCTCCTTTCAGTGTTACCATTATTGGCAATAAAATTATCTGTTCTCAAAGCAATAAAGGTGTCCAGTTGATGCGTGCCTGCAACACTCTCATCTTTTAGGAATCGGCACATCCCCATGCAGGTTTAAAGTGGTTATCCAGCAGTCTCTCCACCCAGCCCTGTCCCATCTGCATGCAGCTTAGGATCTGCAGGGGTGGAGGGAAAGGTATTCTATGGGCCTCTGGAAAACACATTAGTCTTCCCCTTATAAACTCTGAGGGCATGTGGGATGAGGTGGGGTGAGGTGAGATGGATGGGGTGGGTGGGGTCAGGTGGGGTGGGCAGTCTTGGGCCATGGTATCTGTGGGTGCATGTGCATGGTACAGTGTAAAACATGGTATGGAATTCATCCTAGTGGCTGCCTCTGGGGAAGAAGTGAAGGGAGTGGGATTGGGCAGGGATTAAAATAAAAGGGGTCTTCAACTTTTCATGAACATGAGCACTTTTTAAAAAAATAAGCAAATGATAAATTTTCTTGTTTCTAGACAGCGAGATGGGGGCTCTGGGTGACAGCAAGGCAGAGTACCTCTTTGGCAAGCTCACCCAGAGTGACAGTGATAATGGGACTGAGCCTTAGGTTGACTTCCCCACAGATATGGGGGTGATTTCCTGCATATTGCCCTTACAAATCCTCTACTCCTGTTTTTATTCTTTCAATTGTGTCATTTCTTCCAATAAACTAATACGGAAAAAATATACCTCAGTAGAAGGACTGAAAAAATAAGGTCAAAGTTGGAGGTCAGATTTGTGATATGAATAGAAAGTAGATTAAATACCCCCAACTGTTAAGCCAGTGACTGGCTGCTTTGAAGAATGTAGAGGGGTTGGGGAGAGTTGAAGGTGCAGAACAGGTAGAGCCATTGTAGCTGATCCAGGTGAGAGCCTAGTATGGCTTGAACTGTGATAGAGGCTGAGGAAATGAAGAGAAATTCACTAGTTCCAGATGGATTTTGGACAAGGTGACAAGTTTTGCTCATGGACAGAAGGTGAGGACTGGGAGATGAGAACAATAAATTCTGGCGTTTGATCTTGAGCACCTGGGTTGATGGTGCTATTATTAACCTCAGGACATTTGCAGTGGGGACACCTAGGGTAGAGGGTTGGGGAATACATGTCATGTGAAATCTTAGCTCCTTATTATATATCCAAATGGAAACGTCAATCAAGTAGATGGAAAAATGAATGTCAGCTTTGGAAATATACATAAGGGAGATATTATAGATGGTATTGAAGTCATGTGATTAGATGAGCTCACCAGAAAAAGAGTGTAAGAGAGAGTGTGACAAATCCATCCCCAAGCTCAGGGCAGCTAACATTTAGGGGATAGTTGACATGTTTGAACACCCAGAGAGTTTCTGGTCCCACCTGACCATTACCTTATTGCAGACCATGGCCCCCAGTGTCCACTCCCAGTGTATTTTCAAATCAGCTTGTCCTGATGTCAGTGTGACCTCTGGTTTCTCCTTTCTAGATGTGGAGAAGAGTTCTGTTGTCTTATGGCTATGGATAGAATGAAATTATCTCCCAGTAAGAAAAAGATTCCTTAGAGAAATGTTAGTGATGTAAGCCTACGTTTTTTTTCTCTCTTCTTTCACAACTCTGCCATATCTTTTGGCCTATTCTCTACCTAAACAGATGAAATTAGTATGTAAACCTTAGATTATGCATGTTTCTGAAAAACTACTCGAAACATTTTGTTCCTTCAGTGCTACATGTAGATTATTATATAAAAGATAAAAATTACAGGTTTTGTATGCAGTATTCAAAGTTACATGCGTAGCTCGAGTCTTTTTAAAGCTAACTGGTTTGAAGAGTAGTAAAATATGAACAAGTTTAGCAATGCAATAATTACCTTATTTCGTAACTGTACTTTAACACTTTCTTAAAAAGGAGCATTATGGTCATTTAAGTTTCCAGAAGGTATTTTTGCCCCTTTACTATTCTAAGTCTAACTTGGTCCTCTCACTGTATTTCTTTGTCTGCCTGATTTGAGGATCTCTCCCCTCCCTGACTTTGTCTCAGATCACATATATATTTTCTCTCCTAGATATGAGGAGGAACAAAGTGAGCATCTCTTTATGACTGTTTACATTTTTAAAAGAATTCCTCTTACTTTTGTACTTTGGAGAGACAGTTTGCTATAGTGGTTTCTTAACTTCAGATTGCCTGGGTTCAAATCCCAGCTTAGCCATTCATCTTGACTTGCTCAAGTCATTAAATTTTTTTGTGCCTCAGTTTCTTCATATATAAAATAGAGATAACAAAAGCATCAACCTCATTGGGTTGCTGAGATTAAATAAGTTAATGTATGTAAATCACTTACAGCAGTGCCTGGCATGGTATAAATACATTATGTGGTAGCTGTGAGTTACCACCATAATCACCATCATCACTCTCCACTCACTTCTAAGATCCTTTGTATTATTTATGCTTTGGGGGAAAGACTTCACTGTATACATTAACACTGCATTTCTACCCATCATGTTACCCTGCATACAGAGGTGGGAAAACCCTTAGAACCTGGTTTGGTTGTCAGGTGCCACCAGAACTCAGGAGGGTACATGGCTGATTTTGCTGTCCCACACACAGGCTGAAGACTGGAGACAGGTTTTGTTGTGATAGCTTTCTGTGGTAATCCCCACCAATTCTATCTCAACCAGCATAAAAATGCTGATAAACTTAAGGTCTCATAATCATTCTTCAAAGTATATGAAGAACTAAGCTGCAATAATGCATTCTCTTCTTCAAGTACCAAGTTTAGCTCAATTATTGATTCAGGGTTTCAAAAAGCAAATGCATCTTTTACCCAACTGTTTTCCCTTAATGTTTCAAATTTTTCTTCTGGAAAGAAATGGCTACAAGTTTGAGATAGAGAAGTGAGATGCAACAATATCTCTAATTTTATTTCTTTCAAAATGTTTTCATTAATAATATTCTCTTCAATATGTTGCAAAAATCTTGGAAACATGTAGTAGCTAGGACGATTACTTTTAAGTCTGGCTTGCCATAACAATAATGTCTTTAGAAATCCCTGGTTACGTTCAACACCAACATGAGTTTTAGCAAGAAGAAACCACATCCAAACTATAGCACTTACAAACTTTTGTTTTATGGAGACGTACACATGCATGTATATATACCAAATAGTAACATAATTCACAGGATCCTGCACCTTAGTCTCTCTCCTTAACGATATAAAAGAATGAGTTTTCAGCAGTCAATTTACATACTGGTCACTAGTGATATTCTGGGACTTGGGATTCCTCCTTTTGCTTATTACACCAGGACAGGTACCAATCCCCCCACTTCTTTGGTTCCGTTACCATTGTAGGGTCTTGACGTGTCATCTAGGTTCTTGATGTGTTGAGCAGAGGATTGGACAAAACACACAAACAAAGCAACAAAAGAATGAAACAACAAAAGCATAGATGTATCGAAGCAAAAGTACGCTCCACAGAGCAGGAGCTGAAGAAACAGGTGGCTAAAGAGCACCGGTTGCAAAATCTTCTGGGGTTTAAGTACCCTTTAGAGGTTTCCTATTGGTTACACCCTGTGTAAATGAACACCTGACCTGTGACCAGTCAGAGGCTGAAGTGAAGTTATACCCTGTGCAAATGAAGACTTGTCCTGCAACCAATTGAAGGCTGAAGTGGAGTTACACCCTATGCAAATGAAGACTTGGCCTGTGACCAGTCACAGGCTCAAGTGAAAGCTCCTTGTCTCCAGACCCTATTCTCCTGCTTCAGTTCCATTCAAGTGTCCTGAATCCAAACCATAACCATTTCCAAATAATTCCATCTAAATTATGAGAATTTTCTTTATGTAACCTGTGTGCCACCTTGCAAAATATAGTGCCCATAATTAATTGAAACAGCATGCCACCAACCTTTGGTCTTCTCCATCCCCCAGCCATATCATCTTCAACTGGTAGTCAATTGAATTGATGCTTATCATGCCCAGCATAATATTGTTTCCCAGTAACTTGTCCATCTTCTACTGACAGTTTTCAAGATAATACCTTACTTTTTGACAAAAGAATACAAAACATATCTTTTAAGATACTTTTTTTTTTTTTTTTGAGGCGGAGTCTTCACTCTATCGCCCAGGCTGGAGTAAGATACTTTTTAAAGAGCTGGAATCTCCCTATGTTTCCCAGGTTTGTCTCTAACTCCTGGGTTCAAGGGACCCTCACACCTCAGCCTCTGAAGTAGCTGAGGGTACAGGTTTGTGCTACCACACCTCCGCATTATGTATCAATTTAAAAATTGCCTTTTCTACTTTTTCATAGCTTAGATATACATGTAACTACCTTAGAGACAAAGAAATTGACCCAAAGATGTTAAGTGACTTGTAAGTCCGGCCATTTTCCCTAGAGTATCACTTTTGGTAAGGAATCTTAAAACGTTGGACTACACTTGCTTGGATTTTCCAAGTTGGGTGTATTTCTGCCTTCTACTCTCAACAAGGCAGCTTTTGGAGTTAGGATTGGTTTTTAGTCCCTCGTCTCCTAAGGTCCTTCCTCCCCTTTAATGGCATTCTCTTTCAAGGATAGGGAGAAGCTGTAGGAGAGCTGTATATAAATGCTGCTAGGCCCTCCTCATCAATACAAACTCACTGGGAAAATCATCCACTTCCCAACTTTTTTATGTAGGTTCTGAGCTGATTGATCAGATTGCAAAACATGCCCCACTCTACTATCTTTCCAATTATGAAAGCCTTGAGGTCAGGCCTTGAGTCACTCAAATTCTGTTCGTAAATGGCAATGAGAACATTCAAAACAAAAAAGCACACATTTTATAAAAGGGAAACAAATATTCTTTGTAAGAATCTTCCACCTACTGCATTTTGTTCTAGCACTCAGCTTACAGGATGAAACGTCTACCTCTTGCGACTCTTCCCTCTGAAACGGTTGTCAGACCTCTCTGGCAGCTCCAGATTGTGTTTATCACTTGTTTAATTTTTTCCTGAGCTGAAACTATAGAGTCCCTATAATGACTCTTTTCTTCATTCACTC